CGAGCTCTCTCCTGTTATCTATCTCCCTTTAGAACCTGGCAATAAAACCTACTGGGGTGTTATCTGCTGCCTACAATTACCTCAACCCCACCTTCGACCTTGGTCCCTCCCTCCGGCCCATCCCTTTGCGGAGATGGGGAATGAGCCGCGCTCCGATAGCATTGCGCTCGCCCTGCCTGCGGCTCGGCACCGGCACCGCTGCTGCAGCCGAGCTTCAATGTCCTTTTATGGAAGAAAAATGAAAATCGCCTGCCCAGCCGTGGAGAGCCTGAGCCGGGCTGAGCAGAGCTGACAGACGGAAACTCGCCATTTGTTGTGGTTTTGGCACCGAGAGCGCCCAGCGAGTTCCCATGCGCGCTGCAAGCTTAAAAAGGGCGCAGCCAAGAGCTCCAGAGCAGGAGGTGTCAGGGATGCAGTGCTCAGGTGGAAGATGGCAGAGCCATGAAAAGATAGCTTAGAGAATTCTGCTGACATGGACATGTGGGAGACAGGTCTCCAGATCCAAGTGGACACAGGCACGAGTGCTCTGTTGCCAAGCCCTATCCCTGGAAGTGCTCAAGGCCAGGCTGGATAGAGCCCTGAGCAACCTGCTCTACTGGGAGGTGTCCCTGCCCATGCTGGGGTAAAAATGAATGGTCTTGAAGGGTCCTTTCAACCCAAACCATTCTGTAGTTCTATGAAAGTGTAACAAGGTTGTTCACACCACATTTCCTCCTCTTCCTTGTCCCAACAAATTTCCTTAAGAGACACAGGAGAATGGGAATTTGAACACAGGAGTTGGGACTCGAGGTCACTGCCACCAAGAAATTAGTGAGGGATCTGCCCCAGCACATGCCGCCTTAGGCTCTGCTCTGTACTAAAGCTGTGGGGCTAAGCTCCAAGCAACAATCAAATCTAAATAAACAGGCTCAAGGAAAAACATATGGATAACAGCAATAAGAAAGTCTGAACAGAAAATGAGATGGGGCCACAGGACTTTCAAAATGTTTGCGCTGCTGTCAGGAAGCTGAATGAGACAGCAGACTTCAACAGCTGGGAAAACATGTTGCAAAACAAGGAGAATTAAGTAATTCTCCATATGTATATCCTACTCTGAGGCATTCTGGACAAGCTCAATTTCTCCAATCAGGACAAGCTTTTTTTCTATGTTGCACACAAACCCTGCCAGCTACAAATCCTGATACAGTTTAAGCCTAAACCCACAGCACATCTGGAGTCAGGCAGGGCAGCTCTGGGCAGCATGGCCCAGCCTTTAGCACAGAAGTAATGGGCCCTGTGGTATGTGTTGGATGACATCCTTGGACAGCTGTGTCATCCTGAACACATCCCCTGCTGCTGGGTGCTGGATTACACAAACACATCCCCCTGCACTCTATAAAACATTTATTTCAGCAAGACTGCTCCTCTCAGAGCCATGCACACCGCACAGCGCGACTCGCGCTCGTTACCAGTGGTGGTGGTGCCCTAAGAGCGGCCGTGTTCAGGCACGGCTTGGTGCAAGTTTAAACCTGTCTCAGTTCCACAGCTGGGTGCATCTGCTCCTAGCCAGTACCTCCAAATCAATCCCGAGACACAGAGCAACTTAAAAAAGTGTGCCCTAAAACGCCAAGTCTCAGTGCTGCTAATTAAAACACGTGAGGATTGCTGGTGGCCAGAGAGCCTAAGCTGAAAGGCAAAAGAGCAGAGATTTTATCCATCTGAGCTAGGGACAGCAATACTCAAGGCAGTCCTCAAACCCACTGTTGGATGCACAGGAATGGCAGCTGCCCAGGCCAAGGGCAATGCCATCCCACACCATGCAGCCACATGCCATCACCTCTTACCCCCAGCCAACACTGACCCAGACAATTGGATACCATAAAGCAATAAAAATTCCATGCTGTGAAAAGGAGTTTTAAGGAAAAGTCTTGGAAATGTGAGTCCCTGCAATGTGGCCTGGCTATGAAATGAGTGCTGGGGGTTTTGAGCTCTCCACTGCTCTGTGCATGCATTATTTCCATGGCAACGGCAGCTTTCAGCTCCCCATCTCTTGCTGGCTGAAAGCCCTGCAGTGCTTTGTGCTGAGACTGCAAAGAAGGCAAACCATCTCCCTCTCCCATAACACGGCGCCAGGGACGGCAGCAGCAGCTGGGAACAAAAGCCTTGTCTTCAGCACTGTGGGGTCTTGGGAGGAGGGAGGCTGAGCACAGAGGATGGACTTCCTTTTCTGGTGGAAAGCAGCACTTCCCCCACCATGCAGTAGTGCACGCTCACCTCCCAGTGCTGCACAACTCAACCAGCAACATGTGCTTTTCCTTGTCTTACCACAGTTGCCAGTTTTGGGTTGTTCTATAGAGCTGGGAAGAGAAATGTGCATCCTTAGAGGTGAGAAGTTTGAGTGCTGCCTCCATGAAGGGATCCCTCCAAGATGGAGGCCAAACAAGCAGGTTGGAAAACCCTCCTGTCCCCAGGAAGCCTGGCTCCATGTGCAGTCAGCAGCTTATTACAGAGCAAAACCTCAGTACTCAGCCAAATCTCAGTGAAAGCTGCCTCTGCCCCAGCATCGACTGCACACACACAGAATGCATCTGTAGGGTGGCTCAGACAACATTCTTCCCCAGCTAACTAAGCTTTTCCTCCACCCTGCTGTTTGTCATATTAAGGTTCCAGCCCTGGCCACCTAACCAGGAGCCAAACTTGACACTACACAGCTGGAGCCACAGTGGCCCTGGCAGATGGTGCCAGCTCATCTGCATGCTCCCTGTGCAGCCGGGCACTCACTGCAGGCAGGGCAGCTCTGCCCATTGCTCAAGTTACAATTAGCCACATTTTGGTCCCTGCAAGGTGCAAATAACTGGAACTACAAGTGAGATGCACAAGCAGTGACAAGAGCTCTCACTGTTGAGCCCAGCATACAGACACACAGCCAAAGTGAAGGTTTCCAGCTGGTTCACATCACTTGCATTACAACATATCCATAGCTGGCCCAGATACGAATGAACCTCCCTGCAAGAGTTAATGGAGACCCTGAGGATTATCAACACAAACTCCCAAAGTCAGACAAAGGATCCAAGTGATGGAGCACAGGGGTACAACAGGTCCACCATCTGGTCCTCCTCTCCCCACCCTCAAAGAGCTCTGAGATTTTGGGAGGGACACATTTTGACCTTCCCCTTTCCACACTTCCCCTTGCTTTAGGTTCAGCTGTGTGAGTGCAGCCCTTCCAAGCAGAGAGGGACTCCTTCCAGAATCAGTCATCACCACCACCAAGTCTGCCAGAGGCACTGCTAGCAAAGCCAATGCATCGTCTCCAACCTCTGTGGAGTTCCCTAGATTAGCCCTTTCCTCCCTTAGGGCAACCATTTCCTGCAAGCAAGAGCATTAACTGAAATTCTTCATTCTGGAGAGAGAGGAGATAGCAGGAATATGAAGAACCACTGCAGCTGATGCTGTGAGACACCACATCCTGCTATCCAAATTCCTCACCCTCGACTTCAAATCCTAAAGTCATTGAAGACTTCTAAGAAGAGCACAAAGCTACTCAGCAGATTTTCAGCTAATGAATCAACACAAGCTGTCCAGGAAACCAGAAATCCAGCCCACTGGAATGCTGTAACCCCAGGGAGGGGGGGGAACAGGCAGTACACTAGGAAGGAAATGAAACAGCAAAGCAGTAGGAAAGGAACATTTCAGCACTGATCCCTCTTACCATGGTTACTCTGCTGCATTACACATTTTAGGGAGAAAGCTACTTCAATTCATTTTGCCCATTGAAGGGTTCATGTTTTTCATGCCCAGATTCTGTTCTGTAGTGCTGACATATGTACATTTTGAAAACAACTCGGCTTTTGCAAAAACAGTTAGAAAAAATTGAGATTTAAATGTGAATCAACATTGCCACCTAGTGCCTAGCAAAACTCCTTGCTCCAACGCTGGGACAATCCATCGGCACTACATTCCCTTCCCCATTGTGAAGAGTAGGTGTTAACAGAACCTATCTGGAGATCAGGCTCTAAAATGGAGTTGTGCATAGTCCATAAACAGCTTTCTCCTCTGAAGTAAGCTCAATTTTCACACCAGACTGCAGAGTTCAATGCTGGCAACTTCAGCTTCTCCAGACAACAGCATTTAACCTTCTATTGGCTTCTCAATACAGGCAAAAGGTGATACCACATCAATGAGAGAACCCAAAGCTCTGGGAGCTACAAGTGCAAGTTAATGCCCTCAGGAGGAATTTCAGTGATTAGCAGGAATCTCAGATCTCATGAGGATTCACTGCTGTGGCTACAGTGATGCAAGAGGCCTTGTAGCTTCATGCCAAGCACTGATCCTGCCCTCCCTTGCTGGAACCAGATGCAAGCAGGGTCCTGCATCTGTTCAGGAGACTGCAAAACATTTCTGTGATTCTGTTTTTCCCCAGAACTGATGGTGTAGAAACAGCAAGTTCTCCCCGTTCCACCCCCCAACATGGCCTGATGATTCTCCTGTTATGGCCATTAGCAACTGGGGGGAGCACAAAGATCTGCCTTGAATGGCTGACATCTCAGCCAGCTCTTCCAACAAGTTTTTTTGTCACTTCCAACTGAATCTGTATTCAGCATATCCCATAAAAGAAAAATGCAGATACCAATTCCCTCAAACATAGCATGTCAGGCTGTTCCAAGCTCATTCTTCAGAAGTTTTATTAGATACAAGATTAGAATTTGGTTTTGACTTAGAAACACAAAGTTCCATGTACAACCAGAGCATTTCTGTATATGCAAGACAGCAACCTTTGACACCTTTAGGCTTTTTTAGCCAACATCTTCCAAGAAAAGACAGGACTCCTGCTCTCTTTTATCAACAGTGCCCTGAAATTCACCTGTCCAGGCACCCAATTTTATAGAAGATCAGTAGGATCCAGCAAACACTTTGACTGCTGCAGTCATGTGAGATACTGCTACCAGGAAGGGCGAGTTGTCCTCCCACTTCTCTTTGCCAACACTCCAGAAGAGACCAAATGTGAAGTAACCCCCAATTACCTTTCTGCAGCGGGGATTGGGGCAGCTGAACCGCTTCACATCGCTGTCCAGTAGAGCTGGGAAGTTACAGAAGGGACACCTGTAGCCCAGAACAAGATGCCATTAATGCAGAGTGCCAAACATAGCTTTGCTGAAAGCTGATTTAGTCAAATAGCTGCGTGGAAGTCGCTAGGGCTGCCAACCCCAATGCCTGTTGCCAGGATGTGCTGACTGCTGCCTTTTTGCTCATATTTCTTCAATCACTTCCCCGTTTGCAATCAAAATATTATATGCTCAGCACTGCTTTTGACCATGTAATTTAGTGGATCAGCACAGAGCTGGCAAGCAAATCTTGGGGGAGACAAGTCTATTGAATTTTAATCTGCTCCTAGTCAAAGGCAGAATAAAAACAGACCTGGGAAGGCAGAAGTCTGAATTTATAATCCAGCTCTTTAAAAGCTACCTATCTCAGAGTCAGCACAAACACAGGGTTTCAGGGAACAATTTTCCACAGCAGTAAGTGCAGCATTCTCTGTGGGACACTCACCTGACGAGCTCATCTGCACAGGCAGCAGCCACCTCCTCCTCGGCCTTCCGCTCGTAGTATTTGCAGAGGATGTTCTCTGGAAGCACTTTCTCCAGCTCACTGGTGGGGAAGGAACACGTGCAACTGCCTTCCATGCAGCTGAGCTCTGACTGGGGTTGGAAAGAGAGCTCAGGTTCAGACATTAGCAAAAAGCAACTCAGGATCAAGATCATTTCCAAGCAAATCAATGTCTCACAGACAGAGTAAGAACTAAAGTCGGCACACCTCACAATTACTCAGGTTTTGGGACTTCAAAAATCATCTATACCAGCTTGCTTCAAGCCCTGTCCAACTTGGCATTGAACACTTACAGGGATGGGGCATCCACAACTTCTCTGGGTAACCTGTGCCAGTTCCCAGTAACATTTTTTTTCCCAATACCTCATCTAAATCTGCCTAAGATGTCTGCCAGAGAATGGGTTTGCTATGAAAAGAACAAACCTTATTAAACAAATCAGGCCTCAAACACTGGGCAGGAAGATGCTGTTGCCAGCTAGGATCACAATTCACTCCCAGTCCTCTGTGACCACAGATCAGCCCGGTCTTATTGTTCAGTCTTTGCTGAGAACCAGCACTCACACACTACATTCTTTTCAATGAAGTCATATAAAATACCTGCTGCCAGTTTATACATTTACATGAAATGGATCCCAGACTACAACAGCATCCCACAGTTTGAGCATCGTATCCTGAGGCAAAGGAGCAGGCACACTTCAGAGCAGGTTAATGACTGGTTTATAGCTCAGCTAAGTACCAGGATAATTGCTAGCTAAATCAGAGACTAAGGAGGTTAGTAGTACCACAGAGGAACCAACCCCCCAATTAAGTTGGGATCATAGTGATATTATGAAGGACAAACACTCTTAGGTAGAAGGAGAAAGGCCAAGTCAGAGGTAAGTGCTCTCTGTGCAGATACCACTGGTTTATTTAGTAGAAAATAAAAGCCAAACAAGTTATTAATCTACTATGAACATTGTAGAAATTTTTCCTAGTAAAATCAAATTGATAAGCACTAAGGAAAAAAAAAATATGGAGGTTAGTAACCCTGAAATCCTGTGCAAAGATCACACTGAAGTTGTTGGCTTCACTTGATAGCAAGACTGGCTTAGATTTCAGGACACCATTCCATTCAAATATTTCCTGGGAAGTGCACTTACATCTGTTTTAAGCAACAACACTATACAAAGAGCAATGTCATCTCCCAACAGCAATTACCCATTTCCCCCTTGTCCAGTTGTGAAATCCTTACCTTCCCAGAGCCAAAAACTGCCTCCTGAGCATATTTAATTAGGCACTCCTTGCAGAACAAGTGACCATCTGCACACTGAGTCAACTCTTCGAAGGCAAACTCCCCGTAGCAGCAGCGGCACTCAATCATCTGCCCGTCCTGCAGCCACCAGAGGAATCAAAACATCAATAGCTATAGCAACACACACACACACACAACTGCAAACCAGAAAAAACTGTCAGCATTACTCCTATGAAACAGCTACAGATATACACATTGCATTAGAATATCGTATTTGGTGGTCCAAAACCCCTAAGTGCAACCAGAAACTCCGTTTTAAGTCACTTTGTATCTACATGTCCTGCTTGACAGGTTCCAAAAAGCTACAGAACATGCAATGATTAATAATTCTTAGCTCACAGGCAAGAGCAGCATTTTGGGTTTGGGAAGCTGCAGTCACAGGGAAGCAGCTTGAGTGTACACACCACTCTCATGGGGAAAACCAAGATTCAGATCTGTTACCCTCTAAAGGAACATTTACCATCTGCCTGGGCAGACCCTGTCTTGGCCTCTTAACTGTGGGGGTGGAGAAGCTTGCCACAGCTAAAAAGTAAGCATAGCCCACTTTTCCAAAGTTTGAAAAGGAAATGAGCATTGAAACCAAAATGTAATACACAGCTGCTCAACTGTTCTCTACGTTTTCTCTGAAGTGGAAGAGCTGATTTTCAGGTTTTTAAAGAATTCCTTTAGCAAACAAGGAAGTCCTTCCCACTGGACAAGCTCCAACAACAGTGGATGTGTTTTATACAGCCATAATGCAAGAACAAGAGCAAACCTGATGCTATTCTGTTGCAATGTTTGTTCTGAGCAGTGAAGATACAAGCTGAATTGCTACAGATCATTAAATGCATCAATACTGTCTTGCTGGCCTCAGCTCCTGTCTACCTTTCCTAAAAGCCAGCCAACACACATTACACAGGTTTTGCCAGCTCAGCAAAAGCAGCACAGTGAAATGCAGCTTCAGAAAAGCTCCATTCCAGAGCTAAAAAGAATCTGTGAAAGAGGAAGTACAAAACAGTGTCTGTGCATAAGCTGAACTCAACTTATAACATTATAGATACTGACCTTCTGATACTGTTCCTCATTCATCTGCAGAGCCAGGAGGAAGTCTGCATGCTGCAAGAGACATGTGCATCTGTATTTACAGAATAGATAAAGCAATTTTCCAATTCTCCACTCATTTACATTATATCAGGACTCACAAACCACCATAAAAGGCTCGCTTGTCTGCTTGTAACATCACTCAGCCCATCCCTACAATCCATTAAGCTATTTATGATTCAGCTAAAGCAGATGGGAGAAGCAAAGGCAGCAAGAACAAAGAACCAAATTCTGTATTGTGGAGAGCTGCTGGTTCAGGTTTCCATGGGCAGAGATGATCTCACCCAATGGGCCCCTCCAGAGAACACGAGCTTTTTCTTTCAAAGACCTTCTCCATCTGCCTAAGAAAACAGGATCTTTAAGGAGCTACATTAGAAAGGACTGTGGGTGCAGAGCTGTGAGTTCAGTGCTTCCTCAGCCTAGAAGAGGAAGACAACACAGCAGTGGGTGTTGCAGGTTTTGCTTCAAAACACCCAGTTCTCAGCACAGGACAAACTGTTCTGGAGGCACAGGAGTGCCAGCCTGGGGAAGGCAGAGTGAGTGGACACACTGCCTTGGGCCTGGCCATTACTCACCACCAACACTGCACTGCAACTACAAGCCCCAAAGCAGCAGAGAAGCCTGCTAACAATTAGAGGTAAGAGTTAATTAGTAGAGTTTTCACCACTTCATAACAACCCCTCCAGAATGGTGTTTGCACAAGGAGCAGCTGCATATTTAAGTAAATACAAAATCCTGTGCTTGGCTTCTTTCCTTTAAAATTGAGTTACTTGGGAAGAGACATGTGTGTTAACAGGTAGGGAAGGGGAAAACACAGTTATTCAATATTTGGTTCAGTGTTTGAATTTCTGTAAGAGACAGATTTTTCACGTTTAGGGCCAAAACTTAGACAGTTGTTGAAGATTTGCACATGATCAAAGCAGCTCTTATCACTCACCTCTGCCATCTCTTTCACTTTCTGCTCATAGAATTCCTGCTCCAGTAGCACTGGTGGGAGAAGGGAGAGCTTGTCATAGGACCTCCAGTGCCGTCTCTTATTCTCCAGGAAGAACATGCGCTTCTCAATTTTCACATCCCCTGAAGCAGAGGTAAAGGCTCAATAAAAAAGGATGGAGCAGCCAGAAGAAAGCTTAAATCCTTCTTCCTCCATACACCACCAGCTGCAGGCTTTCAGCAGTTCACACAGCACTTTACCAAGCAGAGGCACTAATGAAGAGCATCTCCAAAACAGATACCTATGACAGAAACTCGGCTCTTTTGGGACCACATCCCCTTTCAAGAGTTGCTTTCTGCTACAAGCCAGTTCTGCTTACTGTAACGATGCAGAGAACACAATACACACAGCTTGGCATTTACCTTGCTCAAATTTGAAGTCTATATATGAATATTGATTCATTTCTTTCCTCCTTTTTCGCTTCCCGCTGGTTTCGGGAGACAGCTCCTGCCACTTTTTGATAGCATCTGAAAAGGCCTAGAAAACAACATACAGGTTGAAATCCTGAGCCTGGAAGAAAGCAGGAGCACTTAATTCAAGCTGAAGCACAGTACAAACATGGGCTGATCCAAAACTGGAAAGACAAACACTCCAAAGACAGGCATCTTTCCTCTGCTCACCTTGCTGCCTTATGTACTCAAAGTAATTATTCCATAGAAGCAAAGTAGGTGAATGATACTTCATAATAGCTCAGCTGTTAATATCAAAGTGGGCACCAGCTGTATTAAACAGAGCTGGTTTGGCTTCTTTTTTTGTTGCTGGGTTTGGCTTTTTGTTTTAAAAGGTGAGGTTCAAATACTCAGTGCTCAATCAATCAAGTGAACAGATAAGAAGTTTTTAGTTAAGTCCTGGAACAGGAAAGAAAGAAGCTCAAGCAAGGGTATATCAAAGGAGCAGATCTAAGTCAAAAACTTGAGCCCACACTGACATTCAGTTTGCTGATACTTCAAACAAGTGTCTTTGCATCTCCATGACAGTGAAACTCTTTTATAAGCAATACAGGACTTATGCCACAAGTCATAATAAGGCAAAACAGAGCAGTGATACTCAGGCTGCTTCTTAATTCCATGCAGTCAGTTAACCAGCTGCAGTAGTTAAATGTTTTAAGATTTAACTGAATGTCAGGGTTTTATTGGCAATTATACTGCACTTCAGCGGCGACATACAGGAACAATTCCCAGTTTAATGCATCACCCACCATGAGCCAGCTCGTGTTTCCCCAGCTCTCCTGCTAGGGAAAGTAAAAACTTCCTGCAGCATTCTGTCTGGCCAATAAATTTTGAAAATCTCTACTAAATAGATTAAAACTTCTTAAAAGGAAAGGAAGATTATTATAAAACCCATAACCACAGAGCAGCAGATGGTACAGTAAGGCCAAAACCATCACAGTGCTCTCTGCAGACATGGGAGGCAAGTCCAGGAAAGAAAACAGACTTGAAGTGGAGCACCTTTCGTGTGATTGCATAGTGTCCCTTGAGCTCGTGCAGTGCCCACTTGATGTCCTGGCTGCTCAGCATTTTGAAGTCTGCCATGAGGAGATCAGCTGCCTGAATAAAGCACCGCTGGTCAAGGGGGGCAAGCTTGGAAAAGTCAAAGTAGTCCACTTTAGGCACCTAAAGAGAAAATTAAAAATATTAAAAGGCTGCTATAAATACACATAGGAATGCTCTGTCAGTGATCAGGACATTCTGCGAGACCACTCAAAATTCAGGATATGTGGCACCCAACTCTGAGCATCTCAGTACAGTGTGGGTGGAAATGTGACCTGCACAAGGTAAAATGCAGTTTAAAACCATGGTGTGTGGCTGCCTGAGACAGCAAGAAGAAATATTTAGGTTATTATGAAGAGTGAACAACTTTATTAGCTCAAGGTAGAGAGATGCTTACAAAAGTAGAAAGAGGTATTCAACATCTCTCTCAGGCCACAAAGAGCTATTTCAACATCCTCAAAGCAGCTCAGAGAGAATTTTTTGGTAAATTGATGTTTTAAAACACAAATAAAATCAAGCATCTCTAGGGAGATTTGCAGTTAGGAGGCTGCAAGGCAATGCCTAAAGGCCTCACAAGTGAGGCCTGAGGGCCAAGGCCACTTCATGTGACAGAATGATTGTGGAATTCTTGTCTGAGTTATCAAAATGAACACTTGAGATGGGGCAGTGACAGGCAGGCAGGGCAGAGGGGCTCGCTGGAGGCAAAGGAACAGACACTGTGCAGCTCTGGCACAGCCAAACAGGAAAGGCTTGCAAGTCATCTTGCAAGCAACTAATTACTGCTATTTAACACCGCCTTACACATACCCAGAGGCCTCCTGTGAAAGCCAGGCTCAGTCAAGCACTCTGCAAACACACACTAATCAAAGCAGACATCCCAAGGTCCACTCAGGCTGAACAGACTGCCCAGAGGCAGCAGGAGATGTGGATACTCTCACTTGCCTTTGTCTCATCTTGGCTGGCAAGCAGGCTGCTGCTGGGGTTTAAAACCACCCTGCCTTCCTTCTTTGGGTAATCTGGATTTTCCAGAAGAAAGTTACAAAGCCTGAAAAGATAAATATAGTCACTTCAAGGTTATGGAGCTCAGGTTCACTTCTCATTTGTCCAATTTTTATATCACATAATTATGAGGTCACAGTCAAAGCCTGCTCTGTAAGGACCAAGGGTGGTCCTGGACTAGATCAATCTGCAAGTAAATGACTTGTGATTAAGTGAAAAATAATCAGCTGTGTGGCTGCAGAGGGAAAAGCAAATAGCTTTATCTTTCAACAATTAAGTTTACATATATGAAGCTTGTATGGATGAGCTACTAATAATAGTTTTTCTATTAAAAAAAACAGCACAAAAATCCCTACAAAACCCATGAAAGGGTCATGCCTTTCTCAATAAACAAATACATATTCAAACTTGAATCACAGCCTCCATTCTCAGTCTACCTTCACATCAAAGCAGCCAGAGCAACCTGGTCTAGTGGAAGGTGACCTGACCACAGCAGAGGGGCTGGAACTAGGTGATCTTTAATGGCCTTTCCAACCCAAACTATTCTGTGATTCCATGGTTAAAGCAGAGACAAAATCATGCTTAAAGATGCGCATCTCCAGAATACAAACTCTGAATATAGGTTTCATTGTAACAGAGCTTGTAATCACACCAGCATTACCCAAATTTCACTAGAAACTGGTCTGGTGAGAACAGCACTTGGAAAATAACCACTAAAATTGCTGAAAAATTGCCTAATAAGCTGTAAATGCAGCATATTTGAGGTCCTACCACAAACAGTCATAGCTGTTTTTTTACTACAGGTAAGTGTAGTTTAACTGAATATGTTAGCTTAGAAAAGACTCAGCAAGGGGTTTTCAAATGCCCCACTGGTGGAGACCCACAAACTTCAGAAACCCTTCTGAAAGGGCAGCCTGAATCAGGCTCCCACAGCTTTTTCTCAACCCTCACCAAGCAGCTGTGCTGGCTGGGGGAAGTAACACAAGCTGTTCCTCAGTTTCCCCAGCTGCAGAATAAGATCCTTCTGAAAAGAGCCAGGACAAGCAATTAACATTTGTAAAACTATTGGAATGAGAAGGTGTTAGGCTTCAGCAAAGACATAATTGCAGCTAATTTACATTCCTGATGTCAGAAATCAGTCCCTAATTAAGAAATCTGAACTGGCTTGAAGCATTAACCCACTATCAAGGCACGATTACTTTAGCTCTGCTTTCACATTCAAAGCAGGGGCATTTCTTTTTGTTTAATCAGGTATTGACATATTGAGCCAGAAGCTTTTGACTGAATGTGAATACTCCTGCACACAAAAGCTGAATAGATGATACCCTGCTAAGAGGGGCTCCCACATCTTATCTTTCACACCAGTTGAAAGTTTTAAGAAGATCATTTCAGGGAAAACAACAAATATCTTGGCACTGAGCATTTAATAGCTTCCACCTCCCGCCATCCCTTTGGTAAAAGATAACTGTTTTAATCCAACAAAACAGAAACTTCAAGGAGCTCAGACCGTGTCTCTAACGAAAGGGTTTCAGCTGGGGCACGGCCAAGGTACATTTGAACTATCCTGCAATGTTGCCATTTCAACGCTGAGGATTTTGGGGGATGTTGACCTTCAGTGTGTGACAATTAGTTAAGTGGGCCCCGGCGCACAGCACACCCACACTCACGGCACTGTTCATTAATATCTGCACCACAGGACACAGAGCTGGTTAAAAGCCTCACCCCTGCCCAAAACCACTCACCCTTAGTTATTATATTTCAAGCCTGATTCAGCTTGACACACCATGGAGATCAAAAAGACCCTGCCAGCGAGGCTGACCAGTGCTTTGACCCATTTGTTCTCACACAAAAGCTGCAGTGACAATTCAAGAGATGGTTTGGTTAAAGGAATAAAAATATGGGGAAGAAATCTTTATCATCCAGTAAGTGGGTAACGCACCGCTGAGCAGACACTGTAGCTGGCCTACAGGGAAGCCTGGAAGCACCTTTTCATCTCACTGGGTCTGTGGCACACAATGGGACAGAAGAGATTTCAGGAGCAAAAAGGGAAGGAACACATTAAGACCGACAGAAGCCAATACTGGGATTTAATTCCATCAGGCTTTGCTAAATCCCCTCAGGATACAAACCCGAGTTTTTTCACACAATCTGGGAGGGTCCTGCAGCCAGATGCACAACTTCAACAACCCAACTGCCCCAAGGAATTGCTCTGCTTGTCTTCTACATTCCCACACAACCATCCACCCTGAGGTGCACCCAGTCCATGGTGTGGGCACCCCAAAGGTGATCCACCACTGCAGGGAAAGCACTTTCAAGAGACCAGAAAGAAGTTTTGTCTGTTGACTTTCTAATCAAGAAGCCCTACTTGGGAGACACAACTTCACAGCACAGGCAAAGCAGATTAGGAAATCTATGCCCAATGGATGGGATCATCCTTAGTTCCTCACCTGTTAACTTATTTATGACCCAATGACTAATTCTAGGCCTCATGCACTTAAATGCTGCTTAATTAGTGCCCTAGTTAGCTGGAAAGGGCACTGGATTTATACAAATGAATACTCTGGCAACCAACACCTATTCCTCATTCTTGGATCACACAGTAATCAGTTTGGACATGCTGGAGATAACAGACACAGTTGCAGAGAGAACAGGAGAGGCTACCAAGCATCAGACACCAGTCACAAGTGATTTACTTCAAACCATCTCCCCTCGGTGCTGCTGGTGCCAGCACACGCAATCCTTCGTTCCCCAGCTCTACCCAGAAGGGCAGGGAGATGATGCAACTCAGCAGTAAAGTTAATCACTTAAATGTATTTGCTCTACTATATCCCCAAAAAGTGATGTGAGAGAATTCACACAGCACCACTGCTACTTGAGGAAGTAAATGGGATAAAAGTCAACACGATGACACTAAATACTGGATTCCAAGCCAGCGTCAGCTTTACCTGGGAAGGCCCAAAAAACAGTGAAATGAAGGGGGGAACTCAAAACTCACTAACCTGTCTCCATACTATGTTTTATAGCAGTCATTTTAACACCTCAATCCTGACACTCACTCTTTTTAAGACTTCTAGTAATAGATAAAACAAAATTATATGTAGTACCTTTAAATAAGTAAATTATCTTTAAAGCAGAGAAGTTACAGCCCAACAGAACTAGAGAGGATTTAAAACATCTCTATCAGAAGTACAAAAAAAGAATCTGTGCTCTTTGGCACTATCAAGGCAGTGCTGAAGCCCCAGCCTGGATGTGCTCTAAAGCAGCATCCCTGGCAGGTGGAGACATGGAAAAGTGCTGCAGTTGTATGACACACTGTCATATGTGGTTCTTGGCTCCATACTTACACATTTAAGTCATAGCAGTTCTTGATGATGATTAATTCTTCAATATATTCCTTCTTCACATCTGGGAATCTTGCTTCCTACAGGAGGAAAAGCTAAAGGTTATGTAGGTATTAGGGAAGCTATGTAACAGTAGCACCCAGGACAGGGATTAACATGTCATTAACCAACTCAATCCTGAGACTCATGGCAAAATGGTCAAGACATCATTTACAGCCATCCAACCTTGCTGCACAGGATGACTGCTAACAGCTCTTTCTCAAAGGAAGAGTGAGGGTAGGGATGTGAAAAGACAAGAGCATGAACCTAACCAGTGATCCAGGCTCTGCAGGAATGAATGACAACACAAGAAAAGGGAATATTTATCTTCAGCATGACCATCAAGGAGTTCCAGATTATGTGCTGAAATACAACATTCCAAAGCAAAAGGAAATAAACCAACATGTACACCCACCCAAGGAACCCAGACACGCCAGCAGTGAGACCAGAATAACAACAAACCTTTACTGGCATTTCTGTGAAGGCTCTCCCAGTGTTTGCTGCTCTCTCTGGAGGTTCTGTACAGGTATTGCAACCATGTGGTATTTAGCTTTGTAAGACTGGACTGGTCAGGGTTGTCAAGCAACCCTGACAATGCAAGAATAGCCTCTTACCCATCTCAAAGGCACTGACCAATGAGGTCTTACTTGGAAAGAACTGAATTTTGTTGGACTGCTACTTGAAAAAATATTTTTCTCAACTCCAGTTTTTCCAGGTAGAACTAGATATGGGATGTGGAGGGAAGACTTGGAGGGGATGGGGGTCATGGTGGAAGATACAAACACGTAAGAATAGGCATGTTTGTGAGAAAAAATATTCAGTAAGCCATTAAGAGAGAGCCTCCCCCCTAGCAATCAAGGGGAGGGGGTGTGCAAACATTATACACTTGAATCACCACATTTTTATTTAGCTTTGTTTATCATATATACACCATGCTGCCCAAAGGATAAGGAGGGCCCTTCTTGGTGGCTGTTGTTACAGCCAGTGGTGTCCCTTGTGGTAAGCTTCACATATGGAGCATGTGGAGTTTACGTACACAAGTCCTCATGGTGCTTATCCAGTTACTCCTTGGTGCTGCTGCTTGGAAATCCACACTGCAAGGGCAACCCTTACCCCTGGCCACCATGGTGGCATTAACATGGGCATGGACCAAACTCCTGTAGGAGAGGCAGCTGAAAGCATTCCTGGCTCTCAGCCATGCCTCTCAAACCTCTCTACTCCACTCTGTATCCCTCTGCCACTGTTTAGTGCCCTAGGTTTGCTCATTTAGCTTTATAGCCAATCCTAAACCAGCTCTTCAGTGCTGGCTTAGGAATCAACCTGACAAAACCAGACCAGCAGATCCAAGAGGGCCTTTCAGGGAACAGACACAGATTATTTCACCTTAAGTGAAAGTTTTCCAAGACAGTTCATCACATGCTCCTCACCTGGTGCACAGCTGAGTCTCAGTCAATGCAAAGAGGATTTGCAGCTGTGTGCTCCAAGCACGTGAGACTCTACACCTTGAAAAACCTGTCTGAAAACATCACACGCTCAGGAAGCAGAGGAGCCCTGGGAATACTTACTGTCTCTCTGATGAGCAGTGCAGTGAGGTCCTGCTCCTGCCCAGCAGCTCCCTGTTCTGGCACGTCCCCCGAGCCAAGTCCCTGTGCAGGGAAGGCAGGCCCTGGCTGCTCGTTGTCTCCCCCTGCCTGCTGCCCCGATTCCTCGGGGGGATGTGCCGGCTGCGGGGAGGCAGGGCCTGGAATCCCATCCTGCTGTGGCTCCGGCCGGGGGAAGGCTGGCCCAGGAGCCTTTTCTCCATATGCCCGCAAAGATCCTGGGTCTGCCTCTGGCTGCCCTTGCTGAGGAGCACAACTGTTCACTACAGCTCGTGGCTCATCTTCCGGCGGTGGGAAGCGCCGGGGTTCCAGCTGGCTGTTCTCCTGGATCTCCTCCTGCTCTCTGGTAGTTTTAGCAGCTGTTCCTTCAAGTTTCTGCTCTGGCTCCAAATTCTCTCCTGCCCATTCCCGAGCTTCCATCCTTTCTTCCTGCTGAGGTGGAAGGTCTGCATTCTCCAGACTAATGGTTTCTGTGTTATCAGCAGGCTGTGGACTCATCTTGTTCAGTGGCAGCAAACTTGGGCCAGGCTCCTGGCTACCTGTAAGTTCAGAGCTGGGACCATTCAGCTCAGATGGTCCAGGCTGCTGCAGGACAACATCCACACTCTCATTGCTGCTTGGTCCAGCATTGCTCTCCACCATGAGGTTATTCCCGTCTCCCTCACAGGGCAGAGCTGAATCCTGCTCATCCTGCAGGTCTGTGCTCAAAAGCTCCACAGCACTTTTAGATCCTCCTTCTCCCACAGTGTCTGCACCCTGCCATGGAGCAGCAGGTCTGATGACATTGGGACGTAGAGGCTGCTGATACTTTGAGGTCTGAAAAGGACACCAAGAAGAGAAAGTAGGAATTCTTGTTTGCATGTCAGAATCCTTGCTCCAGATACTTCTGCATCTAAGAAAACTTCTGATGGGAAACTGATAAACAGTCTGCTCAGCAAGATGCTTAATAAAGCACAGAACTGCAACCCACATATCTGTGTCATCAGCCTGTCCCCAGGTGCTATGAGAACCTTTGGCAGAATTGGGGATGCACAGGACTTTGCAAATGGAATCATTTCCTAAGCTCACCTTGGTACCCACTTCCCTTCCAGTAAAACAGTCTGGGAAGGAAGAACTAACTGATGACATATTTGTGTTCTCACCAATTTATTTAAACAGGCAGGAACCAAAGCTCCAAACATTAATCTCTGGCCTTGTTCTTGCCTCTGGCAGACAGATTGCTGTATGCCAACAGAGCCTGAGTGTTCTCTGCTGCTGTTTTCAACTAAGAACCAGAAAGGTCAGCTTTGCAACCCATTTTCTCAGTACCTCTGGTTAATTCAACAGGAAAGTGGAATATATTCTCAATATAAGATAGATATGAAATTCTGCAAAAATATCAGTGCCTGCAACAGCCCAACATGAATGCAAATAGCATAGAGGAATATAAAGCATACAAAGTACATATACAAATCAAACAAGGCATGGTTTGAAAACACCTTCAAAGGAAGATCAAGTCCTCTTGCAAAGCACCCCACCTTGCTGGATTCAGGCAGACAACTTTATGGGAGCTACAACTTTCATCAAATAGAACTTAAACTACACAGTGCACTTCCACAGTCTGGTTCTTCCCTCCTGTGCCCAAAATATGATTAAATTAAGCGAGCAAGATGCCATCATTTCTCTGTTGTTTCAGACATCCCAAGTAGATTGCTATAAGCAGGTAGGACTCAGAGGAATGCATCAGGTATTTGCACAGGACACAGCTATACAGGCCATGAATGCAGCAGTTATAACAATGAAAAATTACTTGTGCTAAGATGACAATATCATCATCATCATCTTCCTCAGTCTGCTGCTTTTCTGGCAATTCCAGCAGCAAAGGCAAATCTTCATCTGAGGAATCCGATATCATGATAAGACTTTCATCTCTGTGGTTCATCCAGTCTGCAGAAGAGTAAGTAAAGTTAAAGTTAGCTGATGGCTCCAGGTAAGTAACTGGAATTACAGGGCACATGTAGCACTGAAACATCTGAGAAAGCAATTTTCCTGTTAGCACTGCAGGAAGAAGCATTCAGAGGTCACCAAATCCTTTGCAAGGCATTGTCACAGCCACTCCTGCATCCCTCAGCCTCCAGCAAAACACCTGCACAGTTTCAGCTCACAACAGCACTGCAGGGACAGCCACTGACACAAAGAATCTTCTGCCCCAAACACAAGTCAAGCTGCTGCAAAAGTTGCCACAAACAAGGCATGTAGGGAATACTTTTGCAGAGAAATCCTGAACTTTCAGTATCTCAGGGAGATTGCATTTTCTTTTTCTTGAACATTTGTTCAAGTGCAGTGCATTCTTGCAGAGAGATAAGGGTCTTGATGCAATTCAGCCTCTCCTGAAAGAGTGAGACTTTACAGGAATACCTTATGCAGGGCCAAGATAAGGCCTGTGGCTGTGGGTGCAGAAGATATCCTGCTATTGATGACAACCTTGTGCCTCAAGGTTTGTCAAGAATGAAATATAGATGCTACTCAACACAGCTGCTGGAACACAGGGGAGATATTCAAGGCAGAAATAGAGGGTTTCTGTCCTGCCCAGAGAACATATAACTATGCTTTCCCTAAAATCTGACATGTTTTGGCTTATCTTTTAGCATGAGTATTCATTTATCACCTTTCAGGCACACAGAGAAAGCATCATTTTGAATTCCACCCTTGAGGGAATGGGTGCCAATGCACACAGCTCTGTGAGGGCACAAATTTAGGGTAAGCCTGCCTCCAATGGGGTTCTCAGAAGGATGGATCCTCTTTTGATCTGCTGAAACACCTCTACACAGTGTTCCCAAGAAGTCAGCCATCTCCCTTGAGGCAGTACAACATGAGAAAGACAAGAGCCAAATATTTTGCATGCCTGCATAACGTAAAAGAGTTTCTGTAGGTGGCTAAGTCAGTGTAGCAGAGTAGTGTGTGATATGGCAGAACAGACCTCCAGCAGTTCCCTGAAAGTTCAGTGTCTGTGAATCCTGCTGCTCAGGAGGACTTTGACAAGAGTGTTTTGGAAACAGGCACAAATCAGTACTCACCTTTCCCTCTGTGATTGCTGAAGCTGCTCAAGTTAATCACTTCTTCATTCCCACCTCTCTCTGCCATTTTTAAACAGCTGTGCCCCAGAGTGTCAACGCCCCAGCATGGCAGACAGGCTCATATGAGGAACTGGAAGGTAAAATAAAACCACAAGGGAGTCAGGCAAACTCAGATTCACCCTAAGGGGGTTTTTGCAGGATTTAGCTAGGGGCTCTCCTGGCTCTCCCAGAAGTCTCTCCACATGAGTATTTTTCTGTGCCCCCTCTCAGGACCTGAAAGGAGATATGTTCGTTATCTTGTGTTCCAAGAGTTAAGATAGTTGACTGAAGTGTGCAGTGAGGCCTGAGGAGTCTCCCTGGAGGAGCTCCAGGAGAAAAAGAGGAAAAGGAAAAGAGATGCAGTTCCATCCAAGCAGGACTCAAACCTCCCCAGTATGTGGATCTTGTCTTGTTTCCAACCAAAATCCAATGCACCAACCCACACAGTGGTGTTTCTGCCACCATCAATTGGTGAGAAGGTCAAAATCCCCTTGCCTGAGCTGTTCCAGGGCATCCCCACATCCACCTGCATCTCACACCCCCAAGGTGATGTCACTGCAACCATGCCTGTCACACTTAATGCCAGGGAAGTCATGCACAGCCCTGAGGGGAACAGCCAACAGGGATACCACCATCCCAGCCTGAATTCCCTGAGTGCTGCCAAGCTGAGGCACAACTTCAGAGCCACCAGAGATGCTCCAAGCTCACTTGTACAACCCCCATGTTGTTGGCGTGTCAGAAGGAAGCTGCACCCCAGGCAGAGCAGTGCCAGCATGTGGTTTGTGCCTGCACTGTGAACCAGCACAGGAACATTCCAGAGAACACTTCCTTACCACCATCTGCTATTTTAAAGAAGAGATTTCCCTGATTTACAGTGAGGGTTTGGTACAAATTCCAGGAAACACCATCTGTTCTCACAGCAAAAGGAGAGCATGACAGGAATCAGGTTCCTTCACAGGACTGGGCTTTTTGGAACTAAACTTTGCTACCTCCACCTGTTCTCAGAGAGGCACAATGAATTGGCCAAGAGGCTCCTAAACAGGATTAGGAGGTTAGAGGAATCACTGCAAACTAAACAAGAGGTTTTCATTTTATGCTGTCAGCTTCTAGCTCTCCATTCCCACCATCACAGAGAGGCTGAACACATACAGGAACTCCAAGCACAATTTGACCACTAGAAGGTGAAAACAGTTTTGTTTTTTTTTTAATTGGAAAGTATTCATCTCCTTATTGCAGTACAGAAGAATCTGTACTATTAAATATTTACTGATGCATAAGCTGGAAGAAAATGGTGGGTCTGCTATAAAATCCTGTTTGCTAGCACACAAAAGCAGTATAAATTCCCCCTCAGTAATTCTGCTTAACTTCTTTCCTCTGCAGGGAACAGGATTTGCAGCTAGGACAGTAAAATGAAGAAATTAATTCAGATGCACAAGATACAATAATAAAAATTAGAATGTGTAATTTAAAAAATTTTAAAAAGCCCAGCATCATGGGCTTAGTGCCTGAAGGAACCTTCTTCAGAGGGAACCTTCAGCATAAAGATTTCCAGGCTTGTCTACAAACAGCCACATTCACCTGATCCTTGATCTGGTGATGGTCCAATTTTGAGTGGGAAATTGGGTGAGGGAACAGCAAGAGGCCTCTTCTAACCAGCATTACCACAAATATGCAACTGCCCCTGTATTTGAGCACTGACACCACAGTAGCACATCCAAATTCCAGTAAGCAGCTCCAAGATTATCGTGGGCATACTGGTGTTTTGAAAACACCTAAAAGCAAGATTCTGGGGGTGTTTCCTCTAGATTCTTCATCTTCTGCCTTGTAAGGAGAAATAAATATTTGCCAGAATGGATGGAAGTGCTGTTCCACCATCACAGGCAGGTGCTGGAGCTGCAGCTCAGGAGCTGGGTCACTGTAAGTGAAAACTTGTACAAACTCTGGCCTTTTTAAAAGGTCACATCCAGATTATTACAGTTGTATTTCCCCTGGTACTTGTGAATAGCAATCACCTAGCCCTGCACAGCACCTTTCCATCCTTAGCCGACTCCTTTAGCAAACAGAATCATTTCTTGCCATATAAAAGGTGCAGAAACAGAAGCAGGGAGAGGCCCAGCGTGGCCAAGGTTGTCAAGCAAACACAGCAAAGGATTGTCCTGAGACTGGCTGGGGAGGAATGAGGACATTTTGTGAGAGCCACAAATCAGCCCTTGCAGCATCAAGTGGTGCAGACAGGGCTGGACAGGTGTCTGCTCAGATCTGCTGCTCCAAGCAAAGCTGAGTGGTTGGATATTTCTCCCTTCCAGGGACTTGTGGTGTGTTAGCAGGGCTGGTTAATTCACAGTGGGGTGACACTGCAAATGCTCAGCACAGCCACCAAAAAAAGGGAAAAAAAATCTTCTCCCAAACAGTTCAAATGGTGCTTTGTCCAATGCTGGCTAGACCCCAGCTGCTCAGATCCAAGCATGATGGATAAAGCCACAAGACTAAGGTCATATTTTCTATGGGCTACTCTGGTTCCTGTAGAGAGGAAATCGCACACTTCAACCTTCAGCAGCAAGAAAGATGTATGGGGAATAATCTGAAATTAAATTTGGGATTATAAAATACCAAACTATCTGCACTTCCATACAAGAAAGCGTGCACACATCACCAAAAGACTCGGTGGTTTAAAAGCAGGAAAATAATAAATAGCATTAACTAATACACAGTCAAGGCAGCAACAAAAAAAGCCAAGGCTGCAAAGAACTGGCAATTCTTTCTACTTCAAAATGGACTGAATAAAAACCCAAGCAGCTTAATAAAGCACTGCTTTGAGTCTAAAAGCCAAGCTTCCACCAAGAACTAGCAATTCATTTTGTCAATACTCAGTACAGAGCTGAAGTTTAAATATCCATAAGCATTGGCCAGTTCCATCTAGTGGCATGAATAAGAAGTTTATCCATGTTTATAGCACCAGGCCGCCAAGAATGTGAAGTAACAAGATCAAAGTCACCCTGGGGTCTTGCCCTACATAAACAATAATAAAAAAGCAAGGAAGACAGATGGAAAGAACTATTCCACACTACCTCAGTGATTTCAGTGCCTATTTATAGACAAAGAATAAGGCTACCTATAAGCGGGCTCTATTATGCCCATCAGCTTTTCTGCAATACAGTCAAGGACAGGAAACTAGAGCTGTTTTAACAGCAAAGCAGTCAGATAAACACTTTCCAAGCCTTTTAGTTTTTCTTCTTTTCTTAAAAAGGCTCCTACCTTGCACCACAGCACATCAAGCTGGATTTGGGACCTGAACCCTTATAGCAGGGTGATATATATCCTATATCCAGGTGACACAAAATTCTCATCATGACTTCTAAGACACCCACTGACTGCAGTGAGGACCCACCATGCTGAAGATGTGGTCCCTCCCAATTTCACCTCTAAATTTATGTACTCATAACTCAGTCACAGAATATCCTGAGTTGGAAGGGACCCAGAAGGATCAGAGTCCAACAATCCCACCCTGTCCCTGAGAGTGTTGTCCAAATGCTCCTGGAGCTCTGGCAGCCCTGGGGCTGTGCCTACTCCCTGGGGAGCCTGGTCAGTGCCCAACCACCCTCTGACACAGCACACCCAAGTTGTTTCACTGTGCAGACAATAAAATCCTCCCCATTATGGTTTTTCCTACAGTGAATTGAGAGAAGAACACATTAACAGAACAGCTACCGGGAAAACCAGAGCCCACCGGGGCCTTGGGTTTAACAGTTCTCCGAACTGATGAGACCTCAGACTGACAGCTGAGGTCACAGGGACTTCCCAGACAAGCTCCTCAAACATGCAAAAATATCATCCACAAAACCACAGCTTCCAACCACTACTACGAGGCAAAGGATCAGCTGCTACCAGGTGAAGCAGTTCTCAGGAGCACACAGAATGCTTACACAAGGATTTCCAAAACCCATTCAAAATCCTTTTAAACACCACACGACATATTTTTAGCTTAACCTAAAAATAGCCACCACCGGTGCTGTGCATATATTTAATCTTCTGATATATGAAGGCGTTTCTGGACTGCAGTAACTGGAGCAGAACTCAAATCTGCTCCCTCCACCCCACATTTGTGCTGTGATGAACATCTTCAGATGGTGCTGAAATTTAAACTGACAGTCAAGGGGAGACCCCCCCCTTCTCAACACAGTGTGATGTATTTTTGCCCCCACTTACAGCATTTGAAATCTTGAACTCCCACATACCCAAGATGGGACGAGACTCAAAGTGCTCTTGTCTGGCTCCAGCTCAAGGCAACAGGACTAGACAGAAAGCAGGGGAGGTAGGAACTGAGATCTCAAACGAACAGGGGGGAGGGAAAATAAAAAAGAGCAACTTGAAAGAGATGTCAGCAACATCAAATCACTGTGTTTTAGCCTCTCCCCCACACAGAACACCACTGTTGCTCACCTACACTGACAGAAGAGCATCAACTCCTACTTTGTGCCTGGGGGCAGCAAACGTGTCTGCTGGTAGCCTGCAAGCAAGGTGAATTTCTGGCTCATTTCAAGCTGCTAAAACAAGCTACTTAAATAATGCAGGGCTTGTGACAACCACCAAAATGAAAAGCTAAAAATTCAGTCCTTAAGGAAAAAAAAAGAAATAAAAAAAGCACAACAGAAGGGAAATAAACCAGCCTGACTTACTGTCAAGCATTTCACTGAAACATTTCAAAGGGTTCATGATTTGCTGGGGGCTGCTCCTTGTAACAGGCACTGAGCAAAAGCAGGGAGTTTAACAGTGGTTGATCGTGTTAAGCAGCATCATCCCAACTGAAAATTAGAAATCCCCTGATCATAAGCCCAACAAGAACTGCTGGGCACAAACAAATCCTATTTGCTATGCACAAGGCAGCTACTGCCACTGCCTCACACCCTGCAAAGGGACAGAGCCAGAGGTCAACACGTAGGGCTGCAGCAGGGCTCCTGCCAGCAGGTTTGCTCAGTTCCAAGCCTGGGAAAAGTGGAAAAAGCATTGATTCCATCCCAAAAGGCTTACCCTGGCCTCTGAAGGCAGTGGCTCACAGGAAAGACCACCTGTTTTCCAGCAGCACAATCTGCT